ATCATATGGGAGCCCACAAGACAGGCAACTGGGCTGTTAGGGAAGTGCTGCGACAAATGCTGAAAGAAGCTGGCTCGACCACAGCAGTCACTCGGCTGCATTGCTTCCTTTAGGGGTTTAGGGTGTAGGTTTGGTCCTTCCCTTATTCAGGCCTTCGTCAGGTGTATCAAGAGCCACCCCGTGTAATCCCTAGAGACTCATACAGAACCCTGTAGAACCCTAGTAAGCACTTAAGAAGGAGTATCTTCAGTTCTGAAGCCTTTGAACCATTCTGGGAGTTTAGGGCTAAACCCTAAACCCTAAACCCTTCCGGGATTTTGTGTTCTGCACCCTACACTACACCCGGGCTCAAGGGTTCAAGGACAGCCCTGTGGGTTTGGGGCGTTTTTTCTCCTGCTCCTACCCTAGGCCCCTCGGCTCTGGTCTCTCTAAACGGGCTTAAGGTTTAATGTAAGGGCCTAAATACTTACCCTACATATTTTTTTTTGGGGGTTCCTTTTTATAGTTATAGTATCATGGGCCCCACACTCTGATTATTAAGGCTTCTTTTATTAGGGGTTTAGGGCTTGGGGCCTCGAACCCCCAAACCCCTCAACTTAAGGGACAATAGGAGGGACCCCTAGGAGGGACTAATCCAAATACCCTATATAACCCTTATATACCCCTTATATGATGCCCCTTATATAGTCTCACAAGGCCCCTAACAAACCCCAAGGGTCCCTTTAAGGGTCCCTCCTTTCGTCCCTTGATCAACCCTCAATCAAACCCAAACCCGTAAATGGCGCTTAACCCGGGCTTTTGGGCCTACGCCCTGATCGCGTAAAGCCTTAAGATCCCTAAATTTAGGGTTCAGGGTTCAGGGTTTACGGTTGATGGGTAAAGCCTAAGAGCCCTAAATTTAGGGTTTAGGGTTTGGGGTCTTCGGGTGGGTCTAAGCCCTTGGTCCCTTAGCGCCCCAAGCCGCAAAACCCTCCAAATGCTTCAAGTCCTCAAGCTTTCAAGCCGCGAGGTAGAGGGTTTAAATCCGAAGAAGTAAACCCTCATAGAACTTTTGTAGGAACCCGTAAAGTACTAGACCCTAAACCATGAACCCTAAACGCCCCAAACTCAAAACCCCAAGGCCCTAAACTCTACCTAAACCCCCAAACCCCTTAAACCCTAAACCCTAAACCCTAAACCGCCTAAACCGCCTAAACCGTAAACCCTAAACCCTAAACCCTAAAAAAACATGACCTCTAGAGCCCTAAACCCTCGACCCTGAACCCCTGAACCCGAACCGAAAGTCTCCTTGTTGTTTAGGGTTTAGGGCTTTGGGTTTAGGGTTTAGGGGTTTAGGGCTTAGGGTTTAGGGAATGGGGTTAGCTTACAGAAAGGAACTACAATGGAGACTATAGGTATAGGAACCCTAAACCCTAAACTAAACC